AAATAAATAAATAATAAATAAATAAATAAATAAATAAATAAATAAATAAATAAATAAATAAAAACCTCTCCGGGATTAGGGGCGCCTGGCTGGCTCAAGTGGTAGAGCATGTGACCTTGATGTCAGGGTCCTGAGTTCTAGCCCCACGTTGGGGGTAGAGATTACTAAAAGCAAAAACAAAACACAAAAATCCGTCCAGGATTAGATATCTGGAGCGGAGGAGGATGGAAAATCCCCAAGAGTTACATGGTCTGCATACACAACATTTCTCTAAAACAAGTTGAAGTTTTCCAAAGCTGTGAGAGTCCACATTTTTAAAAGAAGACAGCTGAGAAGAGTGAATACATGTGTCCTGGAGTGAACTCAAGGCAGCAGTCTCTGCTAGAAGATTCTTTGAATGACCACCTGGCAAACGTCCCCTCCCTCTGTATACAGAGAACCACAACAAAACCACCCCAGCCAGATAGGAAGGCATCTTAACCCTAATGAACCAAAGAAGGGGATTCTGTTCTTCCTTGTTCACTCTTTCTAGAATGTTGCATTCTTCACCATCAAGTGAGCCTTCCAGATATCCAGCTGCATAATTCTGTGTCAGTGAGTATGTATCTGTAGCCTGACCTTTGGGATGAGTTAAAGGACAGGACACCTTTTCTTTTCTGAGGGAGGTGAATGGAATTTCCATATGCCGGGCCTTATGTGGGTAGAGACTTTCCCCAGAGTTCTTCATTAAGGACCACTCTGCTTCTGGGGAGAGGGGACACACTATTCTCTTAATGGCAAATATTACATTTGCAGTGAGTGCCCCAGGTATCCCCTCTTCCCAACACAAGACTTCACCCCGCTCACTACTTATGAAAGTGGATCAAGTCTCCCCCCCGCCCCCACCACCCCGGGTCTCCTAGGCACCTGCTCCAGGACTGGAGACAGACGTGGGAGGAGCAAACTCCAGCAAGACCAAAGCCAGTGTCCTTGAACGAGACTTGCTTTCGGCGTTGCCGCTGTCTGCCCACGTGTGCTCACAGCATTTTATTTTCTACTATTGTGCCGTAGACTGAGATAGAATCAGAAAGTTTAGAACTAGCAGGAGACTTGAAGATAACCAGGTGAGACCCCGTCCTTCTACAGAGGAGGAACCTCTCATCTAGGGAGGGGCAAGGGTCTACCCCTACCTAACTTTCCAAACCTGAACCAGACATGAACTGACCTCCCCAGCTAAAGGATCAAAGGCAAAGCGTCCAACCAACAACCCAGGAAACGCAAGAGGCAAACCTCTAGACCCCTTTCCGCGAGCGGCCCCCGCCCCACCCCGTCCCGGGCAGGTCCCGCGCAGCCCCGGCCCGGCCCTACCTGTCCCGCAGGTGGCCGCAGCGCAGCCCCAAGGCCGTGCACTCCGCCGCGCTCACCGGCACCCCCTTGCACGACTTGACCGGGTAGATCCAGAGCTGCGCCACGGTGCCCACCTGCTGCAGCCGCCGGCGCCGCCTGGGGCGCGCGCGGCGCCAGGCCACCGTCCCCAGCGCCA